TGAAGTCATATGATTTTTGTCTTTCTCTAATTTCACTTAGAATAACACCCTCCAATTCCATCCACGTAGTTGCAAATGGCAAGATTTCATTCTTTTTGATTGCCGAGTAATACTCCATTGTATATATATACCACATCTTCTTTATCCATTCATCCATCGATGGACATTTGGGCTCTTTCCATACTTTGGCTATTGGTGACAGTGCTGCTATAAACATGGGGGTTCGAAACAACACACTTGTATCCCATGGATAAATACCTAGTAGTGCAATTGCTGGGTCGCAGGGTAGTTCTATTTTTAGTTTTGTGAGGAACCTCCATACTGTTTTCCAGAGTGACTGCACCAGCTTGCATTCCCATGAAATTAATATATCCTATGTCAACTGTACTTTCAATTAAAAAATAGCAAATAAAATAATTAAATAAAAGCCCTGTGTTGTAACGGACTGTAAAACAATTCACAGAAGCTACATAAATAGCTAATGGACACATTCAACCCCAGACCAAAAATAATGTATATATCCATCATAGTTAGAATTGTGAAAACTGGAAAATTGCTGTCTCCATCAGGAGAATGATTGAACAAATGGTAATGCATGTGCATAGTAAAATTTGACTTCGTGAAAGTTACCAAAGAATAAGAATGATTTGACAGGTGCTAAGGAGGTAATGTTAAATGAGAAATACAGGAGTTAAAATTATGTTAATATATAGTATGATACCAAGTACATTTTTAAAGTATAGTTGGGGGCTGAAAGGGCTGTGTTAATTGTCATTACCTATAGATGACATAAGTGGGTGCTGCCTTTGAAATGAATCAATGTATTTGAATCCAGTTGAGTCCTATTAAGAACAAAATGGTTACTGCAAGTTAACTTATTTGAGAGAGAGCATGCACTTGAGCTGGGGAGAGGAGCCAGGGAGAGAGAGAGATCGCAAGCACGAGAGTGAATCTTAAGCAGGCTCCACACTCAGCACAGAGTTGATCTGGTCACAGAGCTCCATCCCAGACCCTGGGACCATGACCTGAGCTGAAATTAAGAGTCAGATGCTCAACTGACTGAGCCACCCAGGCTCCCCAGCTGCAAGTAACTTTTAAGATACGTGTTATTTAGGGACACCTAGCTGCCTTGATCAGTAGAGCATGCAACTCTTGATCTTGGGATTGGGGGTTTGAGCCCCATGTTGGGCATAGAGTTTACTTTAAAAGGAAAAAAAAGATTATCCTTTTTTAGAAAATAGTAAGATAGCAGAATTTGCCCAGGTAAATATTTATTAAGTGATACTTTTGTTAAAATTCTCCCCCTGGAGCACCTGGGTGGCTCAATTGATTAAGCATCTGACTTCCCCTCAGGTCAGGACCTTGCAGTTTGTGAGTTTGGGCTCTCAGCACAGAGCCTGCCTCAGATCCTCTGTCCCCTCTCTCTCTCTGCCCCTTCCCCACTAGCACACTCTGCTGCACACGCTCCCTATCTCTCTCTCTCAAAAATAAACAAAAATAATAATACTTATCCACCACTGTCAGAATGACACATAACCAAAATATTTTTGTATTTTTTATATTTTCTTAAAATGTTTTAGAATATTCAGCAATAGTTTATCTCATTTTAGCAGTTGCCACAAAATAATGCAACAAAACAAATTAGCAATAGATACTCAGAAATATCCTCTCGCTTACTTAATTAACAAACCCAATGTCATACTATTTGCCGTTAAATCTTGTTTCTGATTTTAGGCTTCTTATACTGGAACAACTTTTGGACAGTATAAAGCACACAAAAGGAGCTCGTCAACAAGTAGTTCAGTTACATGTTGTTTCTTCACTCTCTAGTTTCTTGAAGGTAATTCCGTTTTTAAATTCAGATGTTTGCTTGATTTTTTTTTTCTAAGTATGGTTAAATAGGTTGAGGAGGGTGTCTTGAAAGAACAGCTGCTTTTTTTTTTTCTCCCTTTTTTCTTAGTGTCCTAATGAAAATGTTTCAGGATTTATAATCCCCCTTTTACTTTTTCTCTGTGTAAAAGTTGGTCAGAAATTAAACCTAGAATCTTGGCTTAGAACCATGCTTTAACCTACTCAGCCTAATATCCTGTATCAGGGATTGGCAGACTGTGGCCTCTGGGCCAAATCTGGCTTGTTGCATTTATGACTTAAATGTTTCTAACTAAAATACAATATGCTTCATTGGTTATATTATGGAAATTCCTATTAATGTTCTTCTGAATACATACATACTGTAGTGACAATTGCTTGCCTAGAGGTTTAAAATTCTTAACTTTTTGAGGCGCCTGGGTGGCTCAGTTGGTTAAGCATCTGACTTTGGCTCAGGTCACGAGTTCATGGGTTTGAGCCCTGCGTCAGGCTCTGTGCTGACAGCTCTGAGCCTGGAGCCTGCTTCAGATTCTGTGTCTCCGTCTCTCTCTCCCCCTTCCCCTCCCATGCTCTCTCTCTCTCTCTCTCTCTCTCTCTCTCTCTCTCTCTCTCTCTCTCTCTCTCTCTCTCTCTCTCAAGAATAAATAAACATTAAAAAAAATTTTTTTAATTCTGCAGAACTTTGTGAAAAATCAAATTTGTGTGTGTGTGTGTGTGTGTGTGTATGTTTATGTTTAAATAGTAATCCAAGTATGAACATCTTTAGTCAACCAGAATATATATTCCAAACTGGATTGGAAAATTTATTACAGTTGTAAGTTTAGATTGTTCTTTACATATTTCAGTACTTAGCTGGCTCCAAGGGAAACTTGGGTCAAGAAGAAATGAGAAGACTTGCCGTGGCATTGGTGATGGGAGCCCTAGAAAGTCCCAACCCCCTCTTGAGATGTGCAGCTGCAGAGGCATGGGCTAGATTAGCCCAAGTGGTTGATGATGGAGCTTTTACTGCTGCGTTAGCTCAAGTTAGCTTTGACAAGTAAGTGAATTTCTTATTTAATATGCAGAGACTATCTGGTCAAAACTGGGTATAGCTTGTTGATTTTTTGGAACTAGTGAAACTCCATTCTGGGAATTAATTCAGAAAAAAATTGATAAACACGGATACTTTATATGAAGGCGAGCCTCCCCTTTGCTCATCTTGGAATATAGAACTGTTATTACTTTGGCTTTAGTTTTTATTTAATAAGAGAAAGATCACTATATGAGTAGTATAATTGGCCATCTCTGGAATGGACGATGGGACTAAGAAATTTAGGGAATTTTATCATGTAAAATATAGATAATTGGTAGTAATAACAATGTACTGGAAAGAGTAAAGTCTAGGTTTTCATCATCAGGAAACAAACTATGTTTTCATTTTTGCTAGCTCTGAGATCATGAGCAGAGAGCAAACCGCACAGCTTGTTTTCCTCTATTTCAAATAGAAGGTTGTCAATACTACCCCGCCTGCTTGAGAATGTTAAGATAAATGAGATAATAAATATAGCACTTTCACCTTCCAGTCTACTGAATATATGTGTCTGATTTGGTCAACAGTTTGAAGTTTAAAGTTAGATTACTAACTTGGTTCAAATCCCAATCTTCATGTAATGGTTACTTTGTAAGAGTTACTTTGGATATCATTCTGTTCTCATCTGTAAAAAGTAACTGATAATAGTGTAAATCTCAAAGTTGTTGGGAGGATTAAAGGACTAAATGTAGGGGCATCTGGGTGGCTCAGTTGATTAAGCATCCGACTCTTGATTTCAGCTCTGGTCATGATCCCAGAGTTGTGGGATCGAGCCCCACGTCGTGCTCTAAACAGATAGCACACCTCCCCTGCTTGTGCACATGGATGCACGCTCTTTCTCTCTGTCTCTCTCTTTCAAAAATAAATAAATAAAATTTTTTTTAAAAAAGGACTGAACATAGGAGCAGCTGGCTGACTCATTCAGAGGAGCATGTGACTCTTGATCTCAGAGTTGTGAGTTCAAGCCCCACATTGGGTGTAGAGATTACTTAAATAAATAAATTTTTTTTTTTAATTTTTTTTTCAACGTTTTTTTTTATTTATTTTTGGGACACAGAGAGACAGAGCATGAACGGGGGAGGGGCAGAGAGAGAGGGAGACACAGAATCGGAAACAGGCTCCAGGCTCCGAGCCATCAGCCCAGAGCCCGACGTGGGGCTCGAACTCACGGACCGCGAGATCGTGACCTGGCTGAAGTCGGACGCTCAACCGACTGCGCCACCCAGGCGCCCCAATAAATATTTTTTTAAAATAAATAAAGGACTAAGTGTAAAACACTTAAATTAGCACAGAATGCATAATAAAACTAGTAAACATTGATTTTTCTTGCTATATTTTAAAATCAAAGTTCTTTTTTTTTTTTAATGTTTATTTTGAGAGAGATAGGACATGTGCAGGAGAAGAGCAGAGAGAGAGCGGAAGAGAGAGAATCCTAAGCAGGCTCCATGCTGTCAGCACAGAACCCAACACAGGGATAGATCTCCCAAATCATGAGATAGTGACTTTAGCCAAAATAAAGAATCAGAGGCTTTAACTGACTGAGCCACCCATGTACCCCCAAAGTCTCTTTGTATGGAAATAAAGTGTCTCAGCAATGTGCATTTTTAAAATGCAACTTAATAATGCTCTCAACAAAGTGGGTATGGAAAGAACATACCTCAGCATTACAGCTAACACACTCAACAGTGAAAAGCTAAAAGCTTTTGCTCTAAGATTAGGAACAAAACAAGGATGCCCACTCTTTCCACTATTATTCACCTTAGTTTTGGAAGTCTTAGCCACACAATTAGACAAGAAAAAGAAATAAAAGCCATCCAGATTGGAAAGGAAGAAGGAAAACTGTCATTGTTTGCAGATGACATGATACTGTATATAGAAAACCCTAAAGACTCCATCAAAAACCATTAGAATTAAATGAATTCAATAAACTCACAGGATACAAAATTAACATGCAGAAATCAGTTTCTTTGCATTAATAACAAGTTACCAGAAAGAGATTAAGGAAACAATCTCAATTAGTATTGTCAGTAAGAATAAAATACCTAAGAATAAATTTAGCCAAAGAACTGAATGACCTGTACCCTGAAAACTGTAAGACACTGATGAAAGAAATTGAAGATGACACAAATAAATGAAAAGATACACCATACTCCCCATGGGCGATATGCAAATTCATGAAGCATCCCATATATGTGCGTTTATGCATACACACATACACACGCTGTGCTCATGGATTGTAAGATATAATTTGTTAAGATATCCATACTACCCAAAGCACTCTACAGATTCAGTGTAATCCCTGTCAAAATACCAATGACATTTTTCATAGTACTAGAACAAAAAAATCCTGAAATTTGTGTGGAGCCACAAAAGATCCCAAATAGCCAAAACAGTCTTGAAAAAGAAGAACAAAGCTGGAGATGTGCTCCCTGATTTCAAACTGTACTACAAACCTAGCGTAATTAAAATAGTATGTTACTGGCACAAAACAAACACACAGATCAGCATGATGGAATAGAGAGCCCAGAAATAAATGCAAGCATATATAGTCAATTAGGACTATAAGGAAATCAGGAAAGACAGTCTGTTTAATAAATGGTGTTGAGAAAAGAAGATAACTACATGCAAAAGATTGAAACTGGACCACTATCTTACATTGTTTACAAAAATAAATTCAAAGTGGATGAAAGACTTGAAGTAAGACCTAAAATCATAAAACTCCTAGAAGAAAACATTAGTCTTAACAATATTTTGGGGGAAGGAGGTCAGTTTCCTCAGGCAATCCCAATAAAAGCAAAAATAAACAAATGGAATTACATCATACTGAAAAGTTTTTGTACAATGAATGAAAACATCAAGAAAAAAGAAACCTGAGGGAACCTACTGAATGGAGGAAGATATTTGCAAATCAAATATTTGATAAGAGGTTAATATCCAAAATATATAAAGAACTTCTACAATTTCATGTCAAAAAAAACAACTTGATTTAAAAATGGGCAGGGGACTAGATGGCAGAATAGCATGGAAGTTTTTTTTGCATTTCTCGTCCATGAAATACAGCCAGATCAACACTAAACCATCCTGCATACGTAGAAAACTGATTTCAGTATTAAAACAACAATCTGCACCACCTGAACCACAGAACATAGCAGGTATGCAGCACAGACAGGTGAACTGGGGGAGAGAGAAGCTGCGGAGGGCAAGGAGCTGTTTTTGCTTGTGGAGAAAGGATGGAGATGAGGGGTTGGGGGGAGGAGGAGAGTATGGGAAAAGCACTCCCCTCCCCCAAAAGCAGCTGGAGAGAAAGTGGAAAAGTGGAAACAGCCACTGGGACTGAACAAAAAAGAGAGAGAGGAGAGGGTTTAAATTCCATTAAGACTCTATAAACAGGAGGAGCACAGAATTGGAAACTCCGCAGCTTGATACCTGGAGGAGCTCTGGGGGGGTAGGGCAAATCCCCAGGAGCAGAGAGTGAAGTCTGAGGGGTCCTTGGGTCACATGGGGAGAGGTGGTTCCCCTGCTAAGAAGACATCTGGTAGAGGCTCTGTGGCCACCCCGCAGGCAAAGATGCCAGCAGACCCCAGAGATTCACTGGTGCTAGAACAAGGATGTTAAGGGGAAACCTGGTGCCAGATGTGTGTTGTGATTTACCAAAATCCCTGAAACACTGCTACATGTTCTCGTGAACTTTTTCTGGGGCAGGCTTGCACCCAGCTGCAGTCTCTGGGCATCAGCAGCAGCACGGTCCCACGAACGTTTCTGGGGGTGGGTGGGCACCTGGCCATTTCTCTAAGAGACTCTCCCCCAGAGGATCAGAATGGGCCAAAGCCACAGTCCCTCAGAAGTGAGGGGTTGGGAAACACAGCCACATCTGAGATAAAACTCAAGAGGGAGTTGCCACCTGGCAACCTGATGGCTTGGTCACAGACTGTATAAGTGGGGTGTAGAAGGAAGCCACAGACAAAAGGACGGGTGTGTGATTGATGGTTGAGGAGAACAGAATTCTGATACTAGAGACTGGGTAGCTGGGTGATGCCTTTTTCACGCCTCCCGTGCATGTGTGGATACACCTGCAAGCACCACAGCAATCCACCCCAGTAAGCTAAGCAGTGCCATCTAGTGGAGAATGGAGCTGTTACACTAAGCTCCGCCCATCTAGGCCAACCTCGCTCTTCAGGAACACAAGTCTTTCTGCCTGCTTAGTTTACATACTATAAAGTGCTTCGTAGTTTGTCTTCTAGGGGAAACTGATGTAATTTTTATCGTATTTCAGTCTTTTCACTGGTCCATCTATTCAATTTTTTTTCTTTTATTCTTCAGTACAGAAAGAAAAAAATTATTTTCATTTTCAATTTTTGTTAAAAATATTGTTTCATTGTATTCACTTTTTCAAATTTCAAACCTTTTCCATTTTTTTTCTTTTCTTATCTTTCCCTTTTTTCTCTAATCAATCTCCTTTCAACAACCAGACCAAAACACACCTAGAATCTAGCATTATTTACTTGATTTTTTTGTGTGTTGTTTTT